AATTTATATCAATATATATTAATAAATTAATTAAATTTTTAAATAGAAAATTAATATTAATTATATAATTATATATATATATATATATATATTAAATTAAATTAAATTTAATTAAATTTAAATTAAATTAAATTAAAAATATATTTATTTTATTTTATTTATCAGTATTTTTTTATATATTCTTAAACAGATAAAAAATAAATATACTATAATCTTTATAGTTTTTATTGTTTCAAAAATAAATGTATTAAGAAAATATAAAATCTTATCAAAAAATAGATACATTTTCTTTTTTGAATATGAATTAGTCTTCTTTTTCATTTTATTCATTTAATTAAGAATAATAAAATACAATTAATTCATTATGTTATTTTACAAACTAATAAATAAAAAACATTAAAAGTCGTTTGTAGATTGAAAACAAATTAATACTAGAGAACATAATTAAAAAAAGTTAGAAAAATGCAGAATAAATTTAAAAAAATAATTCATATAATAATATAAATTAAGAAAACGAAACATAATTTGGAAATAATAAAGAATTACTATTTTTTTCTGAAAACTCTTGGTATTTTGGATAATTATTAAATAATTTAAAAAATGGATTTGGAATATTTGTAGATGATAATTAATAAAGATATGAAGGATATTTTTTAAAAATTAAAAGCATGGTATAGGCATATAATTTTATTAAAATGGAGATATTTATGAAGGAGAATTTAAAAATGGAATGAGATTTGGGAAAGGATAATTAATTTAATATGATACATTTGATTATTATATTGGAAATTTTGTAAATGATTTTAAATGCGGATAAGGAATTTTATACGATATGAATAATATAATTAAAAAAAATGGGATTTTTATAAACAATATTTTGGAAGATTAAAATTTATAATAAAATAATAAAACGCATTAATAAACTAAAAATATACTCCATGAAGATAATTAAATAGAAATTTGTGAAAATAAAAAACATAAAAATGCTCTTTATTTTAGATTATTTTCAATTGAAATAAATAAATATATTTTTAATCTAAATTTTATAAAAAAAATATTAAATGATATTATAATTAGCATATAATATATTTAATAATATAAATAAAAACATAAAATTATTTTATATACATTACTTTTATATTTTTAATTTTATATTCATTTAATAGTCATATTTAATTTAAATATTTTAGTCATATTTCTAATAATATTATATGATCTATTAGTCATTTTAGATATTCTAAAATCTATCATAAAGTATGATACTTTTGATTTTTAATTTTATTTATAAAAAATGTAACAATGAATAGCAATCTAAAAACTTAATTATATTAAAAATTTTAGACTAACACTAATAAAATAAAAAACAAATCACTATTATATAAAATTTTCTATAACATATTTTCAAAACATTAATTTAGAAAGAAAAATATAAAATTCTATATTAATTTTATATATATATATAATTTCTCATAAATAATTTTCTAAATAAAAAAATAAAATTAATATATAAAATTATAAGTTATTTTATAAAATAATATATTAAATAAATCTATTTATTTGCTATTATATAAAATTTATATGTTATTTATTATTCATTTGCTTTATTTCATTATAATATGTATGTATATTATATTTAAATTACGTACCAAAAAAATATAAAATAATTTGTTTTAAAATTACAATTAATAATAAAATATATTTTACTCATAAATATAATCAATTTGTATATATAATAAATCGGCTTTAAGAAAAAAAAAAATATATATATATATAAGTTATTTATTCATATTTATAATTATTAAATTAAAAATAACTATTGAAAATATGTCTATATAAAGTATTGAAAACGAATAAGAAAATAATTCATCAAGTTATCTAGAAAGTCCTAAGAATTTGAGATAATATATCTCAATAAAATGTATAACTACCATATAAAATAATCACCAATAAAGGTAATTGTAAAAGAAAGATAAATAAGAAGAAAATCCTAATATTTTAAGCTATAAGATAGTGCGAAAAATAGGAGATGGATGCACTGCTGTAGTATATTTAGCAAAAGAAATAACTAAAAACAATAAAGAAATAGTTATAAAAAAATACAAGAAAAATAAAAATATGTTTTTCAATAACGAGTCAAGAATTTTAAGATACTTAAACCATCCAAATATTATAAAAGTATAAGCAATTAATGAATCTAAAATGGAAATTTAATTAGATTATTTTTAAAATGGACCTCTTTTTGACTTAGTTGTTAAAAAAAAACAACTTGATGAAAATGAAGCAAGATTTTATTTTTTAAAAGTTTGTAATGCTATCAATTTCTTGAAATAAAATAATATTTGCCATAGAGACATTAAATTAAGCAATATTATGCTTGATAATGAAAATAACCCTATTTTAATTGATTTCGGTTTTGCATTAGAATATAATTAATAGTATTTATTAAATGATTTTATAGGTACAATAGGATATTTATCTCCTGAAATTTAATCAAAATAACCTTATAATGCCTTTTAATCAGATTAATTTGCACTTGGAGTTATTCTATTTTAGATGATAATAGGGGAATATCCTTTCTAAAGTTCTAATATTTAATAAGGAAGATATAAAATATTTTTAAATAACAATTAGGAATTTTGGTAAAATTATTAAATTTCAGTTCTTGCTAAATCTCTTATAAATAATCTTTTATAATTTTAACCTGATTAAAGATTTACCATCGAATAAACTTTAGAACATGAATGGCTTTCCTAAGAACAATCTTTTGTAAAAATAAACTGAGAAAAGAAATATTATTTCTATATAAAATTGGCTTAGAATTAATAAATAATATATATAATTTGTAAATATTATAAATTTATTAATTTGTCTTTTTTATTTTTCCACTTGTTTTTTTTTGTTTTTATTGATAATTTAATATATTTAATTATCATTAATTATAAAATATTTATTTAATATTTTTATTAAAAAAAGTTAAAAATAATAAATATTCACAAAATATTTCATATATAATATTACTTATTTTAGAAATCATATATACTTTTATTAAAAATATTAAAATTGTGCAAATTGTGCAAATTTTACAATAAATTGAATTCTTTTTTGAAAATAATATATTATATAAATTTTATTTATTTAATAATTGTTTATTTTTCAAAAAAAAAGCAAAAAATACTACTTAATTAAAATATAAAAAATGAAAAAATCATCTATTCCAACAAAATCAGCCTCAATAATAATATGTTTAGAAAAAAGTCAAAGTCAAAAAAATCAAAATAAAGGTTAGGACTTTAATATATTAATGCTTTAAAGATCATCATAATTATCATCATTTAGTGGTATGTATTGCTTTCCTGGAGGTAAACAAGACGCATAAGATTTAAATTTTAAAATAAATCACTAAAATATCCATTACATATAAAATTGGTAAAAATCAGCTTCTTATACAGCTACGAGAGAGTTGTTTGAAGAAACAGGCCTTTTTATTGACAATAAAGAGAAAATAAACTAAATAATATAAAAATCAAAAATATATTAAAATTTTGAACAATTATATAAATCATTGAATCCGAAATTAGATTAATTTTTAAATCCTTTTTATAGAAATATAACAATACAAAATATCACAAAAAGATACGATACATAGTTTTATGTTACTTTTTTAAGCGAAAAAAATAATATTGGATTATTTAATATAAGAAAATTTTAATAAAATAAGCATGTAAAATAAAACTATATTTATATATATATTATTTTTTATTCTGACATATTTTTAATTTTATTACAAAAAAATATTGTCAAAAAGTAATATATATTACTTTTTATAATATTTTTTTTTTTAAAGAACAACCAAAAAAATAAAAAAATATGACATTTTTTTAAAAATACAGAAAAAATAAAATAAAAATTTAAAATATATATTTATATACATATTTATTACTTTTTAACATTTTTTTTTCTCTGATTTTTTTAAAAAAATACACAATTGAAAATAAAAAAGATCAAAAAAATAGATTATGGTCTTTTTTTTTAATTGAGTTTTATTAAAAAAAATTACTTTATAAATAAATATACTAAAATTTAATATTATATATATATATATATATATATATATTTAAGATAAATCCAGATAATTTATTAGATTTAGAAGATATTCGTGTAGATTAAAATGAGTCTGACTCTTTCTAATGGAATAATGCTACCAATTTCCTTTAATAGCATCAAAAAAGTGAAATAAATTTGCCGATTCCTTAATAAATAATACTTAATTCTATATAAAAACTTAATTCTATCGATAAATTTTAATCTTACTTTAAATAAATATAATAGTAGAGTTTAAAATTAAAAGAATAAAATATTACCAGTGATATTCTTAAATTAAGTCCTTCTACTTTTCCTTTTTTATTATAATGTTTGTCTTTAGGATAATTTTGTATTTGCGGTGATGAATAGTATAATATTAAATAAGCTTTTTAAAATGAATAAGAAACTGAACTTAAAGAAGAACTTGAATAAGTATATCGAGACGTAGAAATTAAATAAAATTAATAATTAAGGATTATTATTGATAAATAAAAATAATTAAATTTTTTAATCAATAATTATTCTTATTTAAACCCTGTTACTATAAATAATAAATTCTCATTTTAAAATTAATGATTTTATTATTTCTTTTAAATATATTTATATTAATTTATTTTATAAAAACAAAAAATAATATATTATTTTAATTAAATATAAAATACAAACCAATTTAAAAATTTTTAAATAATAATAATAATACAAATTATTAATACACTATATAAGATTTTATTTAAAATAATTATTTTGTATTACAATATAAAATATTTTTTTATCTATATAAAGCAGCATATATATTATTTTACCTCAAAATAAGTATCAATTTCATCCTATTTTTAATAATAAAAAAAAAAACTTTCTACAATTAGTTAAAAGTAAAGAAAAAGAAAAAAAATTAATAGTTTTGTATAAGTGGTAATTATTAAAGTGTAAGAAATATTTCGAAAAGCTTTTTTTAGACAAATAAAAAATTTGAAAATGAATAATTACATAATATATATTCGAAAATTTTTTTTATATTTAATAAAATTTAAAATTCAAACAATAATTTATAAATTAAAAAAATAAAAAACAATACGACATGTTTTTAAGCTTATTTCCATTTCGGAGGGGTTTAAAAAAAGATATTTTTATTATTTAATCATTTTCTTTGTAATGTGTTTATGAATAAAATTATATTGTATTATTTTCATTACTTTATTTAATAATTTTTTTATAAAAGAGAATGTTTATATTAATTTGTTTTATTCAAAAAACCATTATTAATATATTTATTTTCTCTACAAAGTAATATTAACTTTAAATTATATTGATTATTAATTAATTTATATAATTTAAATCATTTATTATTAAATTTAACATAATGCATATATATTATAATATTTAAAATTATTTACTTAGTATAACTTTGACTAATAATAGTAATCAAACTTTTTATTAAAATAAATAAAACATGTATTACAAATTAACATAATATTATATGTATTATTGCATAAAATATTATTACATATATATTATTAATATAAAAAAAATTATTTTATTTTATATTTATTTTTTTTAAATATAAATAATTTATTAAAAAAATTCAAAGATTTCTCATTTTAGGTTCTTAGTATTTTAAATGTAAAGCATCGAAAACGTCTTTTTCTGTATAACAACATATAGTTTCTCCTGAAACTACTTTAACTTTATTAGGACATCTTTGAACTGGAAAAAGTCCATTATCTGAAAGCGAAAAACCTTTTTTTCTTGCAAAAAGTCTCATACTTCTATTAAAATAATCACTTCCAGTAAAATAAATCAAAGCAAATCCATATATAAAATTAGGATAATATTTAATATCGATTCTTCTATGCAATTAATCACTAGATAATTAACATACACCCATATAATTTTCAACCCCTTATCTTGAATTTTTTGGTAAAGCTAAATCATCTGTTAAAAGTCCACATTTATGTAACTATTGAATTATAGTTATCATTAAATTTTTATGCTTATATTATTCAAAATCATTTCTACAAATTAAAATATCTACATCTCCGCATGTTTCTTTTTCTTAATATTTATAAATATATATAAAAAAAAAATGTAAATATATTATATGTAACATATATATATATATTTATATATATATATATATATATTTATATATATATATATATATATTTTTTTTAATATACCTCTTCTATAAGATCCACATGCAATAATATTATATTTATCATATTATTTAGGATATAATATTTTTATTTCTAAATATTATTTATTTTAAATAAAGAATAAAAATTGAAAAATATTTTTAATATAATTGTATTTACATTCTTATACTTTTTATATTATTTTGGTAGCTTCTTCCCTATGCATTCTTTTATTTAATTCATCATAATATTTTAATCCAATTTTTTAATTTTTATTCAATAAATGTTAATTTTATTTTAATTGTTCTATAGTTTTTATTCCCTTTTTATATAGAATATGAGCTGTATTTGTACCTATTCCCCATACTTTACTTAAAATATTAATACTAATATTTTTTTCATCATTTATTAAGTTTTGTATTTTCTCACACGTTCCATTTTACAAAATTTCTTATATTTTAAGTTTTATCTTATCTCCTATTCCTTTTATTTTTTTAATATCTTCTTTTGATTATATTTATTATTTATGTCCTTGCAATATTGATATTGCTCTTCTGTATGCAATGGTTCTTCCTAGATCTTTTTCTTATTAATATATTTGATATAACTTCTCTAATTCCTATTATTTTAATTATTTTTAAGTTAATATATAAAATAAAATTATATAAATAGAATCATATATATATACTTTTGTAATAAACTCATTCAAATTAAACTTATTTGATCCATTTTAACATGCAAATGTATCCTTTTTCTAATCCCAGTATTTTTCTTTGTTTTATTATTACTGTCAAATTATTAAAAATATCAATTTTTTATATTAAATTATAAGTTTAAAATTATGTTTTAATTATAAACTATTTTTTAAATATATATTTTGTAGTTTAATAGTATATTAAAATATATATATACATTATTTCTTATTTAAAATATATATTAATATATAAAAATATTTATTTAATTCTTCTATGTTTTTTAATTCTTTTCTTATTTATATTATAATCTTTATTTATTATAGGTTTCCATAAATTTAATACATATTGGATTTTAAAAATAATAATTAATGGCATATTTTTTAAAATATATATACGATGCGAATTTAATTAATAGAAAATTATTATTAAATTAAGAAATTAAAAAATCAAAAAAATATTATATATATAAAAAAAATTCTTATATTTATATTTATTCACATTTATTTTTGTATATAAAAAATTTAAAAAGTAATTGTGAAATTATATTTTATAAATTTTTTAAAATAAAATAAAAAAAAATAATATATTATATTATTCAAGAGAGATATTAAAAAAAATTAATTAAGGTTTTTTGATTTTCAATTAATGCTCAAAAAATATTAGATCTCATGATAAAAAGGCATATAGAATATTTTACTACATTGTTTTAATCAATAAAAATTTACAGTATATATTTTG